ATTCCACAAATTAAATTCATTGAAGGATCAGAGTACTCAAAATTGATTGGGTTTTACTCTAGTAGGATCACATTGTCTTTAAAAAAACAAATGCAGTTGCCATAGCAACTAATTTGTTGTAGTGTCTTGTTTTATTGACTAAAATTACATAAAATGCCTCAAATAAATCCTGTACAAGTAGCAAGATTTTTTTTTTTTTTTATCGCTTGGAGCGCACGAGAGGGAATCCCTATAATATTCGAAGAACATCGTGCGTTCCTAGGGAGGATAGGGACAGGAGGTAGGTATTGGAATTTTTTTTGAACTTTTGGAGATTATATGTTGTTGGGAACACTTCCACAGGCAATGAATTCCAGAGCCTAGCCGTTCTATGGATGAAGGAGTCTTGATAAAGTGCTGTTCGACATCTTTCGAGGTTGACAACGAAAGGATGTGCTGACTGGGCTTGTCTAGTTCGTCTGATTGGTATTGCTAGTGAAGGGATGATAGCAGAGATTTCCGAAGAACATTTCCCGTGGAAGTATCGATAGAAAAGTGAAAGGTCGCCGACCTTTCTACGGTGTTCTAATGATGCCAAAGAGTGAGTGAGTGTGGCGTCACCCACCAGGCGAATGGCTCTTCTCTGGATGGAATCTAAGAGCATCAGCGTATGTTTTGGTGCTGAACCCCATATGTGGGAACAGTATTCTAGAACAGGCCGTATCTGCGCTTTGTAGATCATGAGAAGCTGTTGAGGTGTAAAGTAGCTTTTCGCACGGAACAAGAATCCGAGTTTTTGGGAAGCAGCTTTTGCGATGGATCTGACATGATTATCCCATGAAAGAGTGTTGCTGATGGAAATACCGAGCATAGATATGGTGGGCTTGGTGGGGATGGTGGAGCCAGACATTACAATATCGGGCATACTGAGTTCCGCCTTTCTAGAGAAAATGCAGGCTTGAGTTTTGGTGGCGTTGAATTCAACTAGGTTGTTTGTTCCCCAGGCTGTGATTTCAGCAAGATCTTCATTGACAGCATTGACCTGCCTGCGCCGTGAGGTCTTAGTTTCCTGGGAAGAAATGGGAATTCTGGAAGAGAAAGCAGTATGGAGGGTACTATCATCTGCAAAGCTGTGGATGGGGCAAGTTGTTACTCCCAACAGATCATTGATATGAAGCAGGAATAATGTTGGTGCCAAAATTGATCCTTGTGGAACGCCGGAATTGATGCCAATGGTATCAGACGATACACCGTCCACTACCACGTGAAGCGATCTGCCTGAAAGAAAACTCGATAAGAGATGGCATAGCTGGGGTGGTAAGCCGTATGATGGTAGTTTGTGGAGGAGTCCTTCGTGCCAAAAACGGTCGAATGCTTTCGATATGTCCAACGCGACAGCTAGAGATTCCCCGTGTTTTTCTATTGAAGATTGCCATAAATGGGTGACGTAGGCAAGTAGATCTCCAGTAGATCTTCGGTGGCGAAAGCCGTATTGTCTATCATTGATGATTCCTGAGCTCTCCAGATATTTGATAAGCTCAATATTGATGGCTTTCTCCATCACTTTGGAGATTACTGATAACAGGGCAATGGGCCTGTAGTTGTTGGGCAGGTTCTTGTTCCCTTTTTTGGGGATTGGTTGGACTCTAGCTGTCTTCCAGCATGATGGAAAAATACCCGACCTGTACGAGATGGTAAACAACTTGCAGAGAATCGGTGTTAATTCTGGTGCACATTTTTTGAGGATAATGGGTGGAATTCCATCAGGACCGTTAGCTTTATTCGTTTTGAGACCAAGCAAAATTCGTCTGATAGTGCGTTGACGGAAGACGATTTCGGGCATTCGACTCTCAACGGGTGTAATGTCTGGCGGCACTTTTCCTTGGGAATCTAAAGTAGAGTTTGCTGCGAAAATTTCTGCAAAAATATTCGCTTTCTCCTGCGATGTTGTTGCTAATGTGCCGTCGGATTTGGACAGTGGTGGAAATGAACTGTTAGTGAAATTTCTTCCGACCGCTTTAGCAAGGGACCAAAACGAACGGGAGCCATTGGGACAATCTATGAGTTTCGATCTGATCTTGGCATTGTATGTTTCTTTCGAAGCATCTATTGTTTGGCTGCAGTTATTCCTGGCATCAACGTATTCTGCTCTAGTCGCGAGGTTAGGGTTTTTGCGCCAGCGATGGTAGGCTGTTTGTTTCAAGGCAACAGTTCTAGAACAGCTTTTGTTGAACCAGGGTTTCGAAGGTGATGATCTTTTCGAAAAATGAGGTATGTATGTTTCCATTCCGAGCATGATGATCTCGGATATTTCCGCAGCACACTGTGAAGGGTCCTCAGAGTCAAAGCATACTCTATGCCAAGGAAACTCGGAGAAAAACATGCGGAGACCGTCCCAATCTCCAGAATTGTAATGCCATATAAGACGTGGGGGTGCTGGAGCAGTTGATGGAATGAAAAATGGGCAGGTTGTGGAGATGAGTGTGTGGTCAGAATTGCCAAGTGGAGCTCGTACATCTATGGTGTAGGGTGCTGAATTATTCGTGAGGAATAAGTCAAGTATGTTAGCTGAATGGTTATTGGCATCGGGAATTCGTGTGGGTTCTTTGATAAGCTGCTCTAAGCCGTGAGTGATGGCGAAAGCTTCGGCTTGTCGCCCAGCTTCATCCGTTCTGTTAGAGTGTACGAGCCAAGCAGTGTTGTGTACATTGAAATCGCCCATGATGATGATTTCTGCTGCTGGATGGTTCTGTTGAATTTGGTCAAGCTTCAGAGACAAGAATTCGAAGAGCTCCCCATAGGATGGATCATTTGGTGATAAGTAGAGACAACAAAGGTATTTGGTCTGTTTCTGGCTATCGAGTTTGAACCACATGACATCAAACTTATTGGGTTCCAAAGTTTTTTCTCGTTGACATGAGAGATTCGTTTTAGAGTAGAGGCAGAGACCTCCCTTGAATCTGAAACGTGTGTGGAGTTCGTACCCAGGACAGAGCAGATAGGTCATATTGGTCGATGAATTGACCTGTGTCTCAGTAAGAGCCAATATGTCTGGCTTTTCAATTTGCGTTAGTAAACGATGGGCGTAGTAAACGTTACGCCGCTCGTGCAGTGAGAGTTCATGAAGCAACTGCTCGTAGAGCAATCCGCTAGGACGAACAAATAGGAAGCACCGCTCGGAGAGTCGGTTCTGGTCGCCCCCGAAAAACTTCTTCAAGAGATGATCACTTCTTGAGATTGCGGATTTTACGGAATCGATTAAATACTGCGGTAAATGTTCAGCAAGATCTTTGCCAAATTCGTGATGTTGCAATAAGTAAGCAGACGGTATGTAGACGTCTAAAATAAGTTAATTTCAAAGCTAGGAGACCTGCAAAAGGTTCCAGATTATTGCCCGAACATCGTGCTGCTAGAAGAAATTTTGTTGAAAATTATGGACAGTGGAATATTCCTGAATGGTCGAATGTCTTGTTTACGGATGAGTCAAGGTTTTGCCTTAACATGGTGGATGGAAGAAAAAGAGTGTGGAGAAGAACTGGTAAACGGTTTAATCAAAATGTAATAACAGAATGCGAAAGTTTTAATAGTGGGTCCGTTATGGTGTGGGGAGGGATTTCAATGAATGGAAAGACACCCCTTCATTAACATTTTAGAGCAGTATGTCTTACCTTATGCAGACTTAGTGACCAATAATTTTATATTGATGCAGGATAATGCCCGACCACACACCGCAGCAATAGTTCGAAACTTCTTAGAAGCTACTGGTATTACCACATTACAATGGCCTGCGAGAAGCCCCGATATGAATCCTATAGAACATTTGTGGGATGAATTAGGGAGAAGGGTACGTTCTCGCCAGAGGTCTCCGGAAAGTCTCGCAGAAATGGCAGATGCATTAGTGGAAGAATGGGATCGTATACCAATGAAAACGATAAGCAACTTAATTTCCAGTATGCCTCGTAGATTAGAAGTTCTTAGAGTTGCTAGAGGAGGCAATACACGGTATTGAGCAGTCATCCCAATTCATAATTTTGTGTTCAATAAAAATGTTTTTTTAAATTATTGGTATCAGTTTATTTCATTAGAAAATTGTTTCTCGATAAATTCAGAAAGTTGGTAATCTGCAAGGATTCAGCAAAAAAAGCTGTAATTCGGAAAATTTTAGAGATAAATCAATGAATTAAAAAACAAAATGCTCGCAAAAGAAGCCTCTTTCGTATAGGTTGCAAGCACTTTCAATGCCATTACTCAATTAACACACAGGGTGAGTCAAAAATTAAGAATAAAGGAGGCTTTGAAAAAATGTTCACCTCTTTATTTTTTGTTTAAGACAAATGCATTACCTACCAACAAATAGAAAAAAATAAAAATCGGCCTACTATTTTTTTTTCAAGAAGTTAGGTCAAATATCAAGTGCGTCACTTTGGAACTGACTGTATTTTCGCACGAGCGCAAATGCTGTCAAATATAATTGCATTTTATGGAAATCGTCAATTGTGTGTTGAGATTTTGATAGCGACAAAGGCTACCTTTATCATAATTTCACTGCATGCATTTTTTTTAAATAAGTAAATCTAAAATTCAGCGAACTTAATATTTTGTTATAGAAAAATTGAAATAATTCCATAAGGAATTGCTGTATTCAAAACCTGATCATCGTAGCTTCATTTTGAAAAAAAATATTAAAAAAATATTATAGACCATGAAAGGCGGAGGCGAAAAAATTGCAGTAGGTTATGCGCGTTGTATCCTGTTTTATGCCAAGTCACGTGGGTAGTTCTTGTTATGATTAGGTAGGTACCAATCTGTAAAATAAAGAAAACAAATCGTTACCAATTATTCTTATCTCTCCTATAGTACATTTTAATCGTCGCATCAGGAATAAATGGATCCACTTGCGGTTTTCTGTTACAGGAAAATCTTAGTGGGACAGGAAACAATTAAGAAACTTGGCATGCGTCTGTTTTCCAGAAACTTGATAACCGTTTTTTTATAATAGAGCGCGAACGCAGTGAATTTTCAATTGTTCTGTAGGACCAGTGAGTGAAAGTTGTGTTCTGTGCTTTCGAAAAAAGTGGGTATACTTTTAAGATTATCAGATATACCGTGTTACACGGATTCATGGTACCCCTCCCTTTGGTTTTCATTTCTTTAGCTTTATTTCTGAAATTGTGAATATTGGAACTTTTGACGAATTTGAGAAAAAAAACAACTTAAATTTTCTCCGGAAATAACAGAAAACTTAGAGTATCAAACTCAACTACTCAATAGTTGATCCTTTTGACAGCATATATTATATTTTGATCTAGAAAGCCTGATCGAACTCTGATGAATTTATTCCGAATAATCAAAGATCACAGTAATGCTATACTATTGAATTTTCGATTATTGTAATTTGGAATACGTGCAAGAAGAAACAAAAGTTTATCAAGGTGTGGATATTGAACACAAATCGAAATGTTGACGTTTCGATGATCTGTAATGGACGTGTACACCTTTGTAGAACTTTCAACTCAAACCATGTTCATAATGATCCTTTTATACATAAATAATGATTGACGACATAATTCGATCGAAAAATTAACTGAAATGTTTTATTTTTGGACATAAATAATAGTACCTTCTGAAAACGGACCCTCTTATGACGTAGAAACCTCATCTCGCCATAATTAAAAGAAAATACCAAAAGCCCGACGGAGACTGAGGCAACTGATATATTAATTCTTTCAACTGTGATCTCGCGCTAATTCACTCTGTCAGAAATCATGTATCATTCATCTCTGTCTGGAATAGTCTTGTTTCAGTATTAGGAATTTGACGTCACATCATCGCCTCGTTTTCAGAGGTTGGGAAAATCGGGGATTTCAATAATTTTTTATAAAACGTAGGGAGCTCACAGCAAGAAACGGTTTGCGGTGGTGAGCTAGTTTGAGTGAGTTCTATCGAATTATGAAATGAAATTTTTTTGTGATATAAGCCCATTACCAACAGAATTTTCAGAAAATCGCATCATTAATAACTGAGATTTTAGTCTTTAATCATGAAAAGCGGGATTTAAAATTTTTCTTGACGTTTTGGAAATATGAAATGGAAGATTTTTGGGGATGTTGATTCTGAATCTGATTAAAAAAGTTATGTAAAATATTCCCTACACGAAGGAAAAGGAATCGTTGAATCAAGCAAAATTTGATTAGATGTAGCAAATATAAATGTCATATATTCACGACAAAAATATTGTCTTGAAATGAGTAGATCTATAGCTTGTTTAAGAGCGAATTTGGAGTTTAGATCAAGTGAATATGTCTTGCATGAAATCTGGACCTTCTTCAATCAAGCACATCCATGAATTGTGAATTGGCTCAAACAATCATTTTGTTTAATTCAAAATATCAAGATATTGATTCAATCAAATATTTAGTTGATTCAACGAAATATATTTGGTTGATTCAAAGAAATATTTGCTTGATTCAATAAAATATTTGTTTGATTCAATGAAATATTTGGTTAATTCAATGAAGTACTTTGTTGATTCAAGAGAAACTAAATATCTATTCGACAAACTGTTTTGTTGAACCAAATTCATTATCCGGGAATTTTCTGAAATTTCACATTATTAGAATGAACAAAACTAGGAAACTAGTCGACTCCTGGCATAGATCTTCAGTCTTTACTTCTTTTAGCTGATGCAAAACTTTTTCGGATTGCTAATCATCCTAAGATCGATTTATCCAGCTCTTATATCAACCACGAAGAATCAGGCTTCACGTATATAATGAATTCGAGGCAGGCATAGACGAGGCGAAATGATCGCCATCTAGAGGCAAAAATTTAAGTTGATGTAGAATGAACAATATATTTCATTGATATTACATATTTCATTGCCCTATTCAAGCAAATGATCCGTTCGAAACGAGTTCATTGCTACATTGGAATAAGCAAACTTGTATGTTGTTTCAAAGATATATTTTCATCAAAATGATCATTGTTTGGTCAAATCAACGAAATGTTCATAGTTGAATCAACATCGGCATTATTTTGGATCGACATAATTTGTTTTTGAGAAAACCATATATCTTGTTGATGAAATTGATATTACATTGTTGATTCATTTAGACTATATTCTTGATTTGAACAAGCTGCTTCCATGGAATAATCATGTATCTGGTTGATTCAACAAAAAATTGCTCAGTCCAACAAAAATAGCTCAAGCATAAATAATTTGTTGATGCAACAAATCCTTTTTTTCCGTGTATGATTATCGAATCGATCATCAAAAATCACCAACCCCTATAGTCACTGATAGGCTGTTCCATTTGAAAATTTTGTCGCCGACATGATTAATCAATCGTGAATCACCCTGTATATTCAATTTTTCCTGTATATGTGGAAAAGCGATCTGTTCCAGAAGACATTTCTCAGAAATGGATATAGTTTGGCTTGAAATACAGTTATTCAGTATTGTTCGGTAGCACTATTATGTCATTTATGGTTCTCTACAACATGATTATTTTTTCATTAACTGAACCAGAATGCCTTTACCCCTCGAAGAAAAAACATTATCGACGCCTCTGTTGAGTAGCCTACTTTCTTTCTAATCTACAATGATTTGAAACCATATCAATAATAATTGTGGTTTCAACTATATTCTCGGATTCCTGCATATAACCGCAAGCGTCCCAAAAGACATCAGACGTCATTATCTCTAACCATGATAATGAATACGTAAGACATTTTCGCAAAAAGTATCTCTTGCAGACAAGGTGTTTCAAAAATGGACGTGAACATAAAAAAAAGTCTAGAAACAGGGACCGCAATTCCGCAATTTTACTTCCTTATCAAGATGTAAGATGTTGAACGGTGGCGGACTAAAGTTGCTGGGGGGAGTGGGGGGCCTAGGCGCGTGACAAATCTGGGGCTTTTTATTCCTTGAAAAATATGTAGAGTATATGTATAGTGTTCAGGTTGTCCCACTCAAATGTGATATCCCCCTTTATCTTCGTGATTCTCAAAAAATTCGTTCATCAACATTTCTGGAATAATGTTTTACGAATTTTTCTAATCTGTGCTCACTGTTTCTTTATATCAACAAAATACAGGGTGACAAAAAATATGTTTTTTTGTCAAAAGAAACTATCCAAATTTCCTTCGCTAACAATATATGAATCATACATATATTATTGAATTGAGATTGACGGGCTTCATCGATATATGGAAAAAAATGTAGATCATTCCATTTGAAAAAAAAAATTTCACCCTATATTATGTTGTTGATATGAAGAAAAAGTGAGCACCCATTCAAAAGATTCGTGAAAAATAATCCAGGAAAGTATTTGAATAACCATAATAGAGAGTTTCGAGGATAAATGGGGGTGACACATTTGAAAAGGCCACCTTGTACAGGGTGGCCAACTAAGACTCCAGAGTTCGATTTCGCTGTTGTCTTGAGAGATACAAAAAAACCATGATTCAAAATTGAAGTAATAACCGAGCTTCACATTTCAAAATTTCTTTGAAATACACAGGGTGTTCCGTAAGGTCACAGCACATCAAAGCTATGTTTTTTTCATTGGAACACCCTATATTTTATTTCCTTTTTGAATTCTCCCTGAAGATCTGATTTCAACGATGTAGCATACTTAGGGTCTAGCAGTGAAAGTTACTGACATATAGGGTGTGCAAAATCGAGATTTTCCAAGTTCAGGATTTTTTTCTGTCGAAACTGTTCATTATTCGTCAAAACGGTTTACATGTCCCTATCTCAACTTTTCACTCACTATCAATTGGTGTTCAATTGCAATTGATACAACGTGGTCAAAAATCTAAATTTATAATTTGTTTCAATTAAATGTCAATTGAACACCAATTGATAGTGAGTGAAAAGTTGAGATAGGGACATGTAAACCGTTTCGACGAATAATGAACAGTTTCGACAGAAAAAAATTCTGAACTTGGAAAATCTCGATTCTGCTCACCCTATATCTCAGTAACTTTCATTGCTAGACCCTATAAGTATGATACATCGTTGAAATCAGATCTTCAGGGAGAATTCAAAAATGGAATGAAATATAGGGTGTTCCAATGAAAAAAACATAGCTTTGATAAGCTGTGACCTTACGGAACACCCTGTATATTTCAAAGAAATTTTGAAATGTGAAGCTCGGTTATCACTTCAATTTGAATGCGAAACTTTTTTTTTGAATCTTTCAAGACAACAGAGGTATGGAAATCTGGATTCTTAGTTGGCCACCCTGTACATACTGCAGAAAATTTCTCAATTCAGATCAAGGTCACGCGTATGCCTGATTCTTCAGGTTGGATATACTTATATTTTAAAGCACATTTTTTCTTAGGACAAAATAAAAAACTATTTATGAAATGAATATAAAAGATGAAAAAACTTATTTTTGGATGATGATATCCATCACAAATAACTGAAAACAAATGTAAATCGTCTAAGTATGTGAATACTGCACGAAGAAATGTTCGTTGCTCTTGATTTGGCATATTTGTCTATCAAAGAATAAAAGAAATGATGAATTGGTGACTACGTTCGGAAATACGACCTGTTCTGGAATACTGTTCTCACATGTGGGGTTCAGCTCCCAAACATACTCTGACACTAACTAACAATTTGACATCATTGGAACACCGTAGAAAGGTCGGCAACCTTTCACTTTTCAATAGATACTTCCACGGCAAATGTTCTTCAGTAATCTCTGCTCCCATTCCATGAATATAGCGATAGCAGCCAGACGACCTCGACAAGCGCAGTCAGCACACCCTTTCGATGTCAATATCGAAATATGTCGAACAGCACTATATCAGAACTTGTTTCTCTATCGAACGGAATGGCTCTGGAATTCATTGCCTAAGGAAGTATTACTAAGAAATTATAATCTCCAAAAATGAAAAAAATGAAAAAGAAAATCCAATACCTTCCTCCTCTCCCTATCTTCCCTACGTACGCACTATGTTCTTCGAATATTATAGGGATTCCTTTTCGTGCGCACTAAGCGATAGGAAAATTGGGCATCTAAGCGCGCGCTTACTGCACCTATATATATGCGAAGATCC